TGGGTCACGGGGTCTAAATGCTACAGTTGCTCAGATGTGGACTCCCACACTTCAAGATGAAGCTAGTAGGTCCAGTCTCTTTGGCTTCCAAACTGGAATTTAAATTTAATTCCTATGAGCTCCCTGATGTTCTTACTTCCCAGCCTGACTCCATAGAGTTCCTTAACTGATGTCAGGATTCCTTGCCATAATCTACAGTCATGGAAACTATAGTTTCTTTCAGAAATATACACACATATACATGCATGTATATGTCAAAAATTAAATCAATTATGCTTTTTTTTGGGGGGCAGGCTGAAAAATGATGTTGGTGAGTCACACAGCAGATAAAGGCATCTCTACCGAAGGACTATCAGGAATGAAGCAGAGCTTTTCTATGCAACCTGAAGCTCTCTATATAAATGAATAAATGAAATTATAAATAAAGAAATGCACCACTAAACACGCTGTTGTCTTGCTGCTCATCACTGCCAGGCAGAGGGACAGCAGACTTGGTGGAGACAAGCTACAGTGCTGTCCAGACATATGTGAGTGGGGTTCATCATTACACTCCTCAGGCTAGAAAAGTGCTCTGTGCACGCATGGCTAGCCCTGCCCCTCCATAACAATTCCTCCTCATCTGTCAAAAGACCAGGATTAAACTGCTCCCCCACCTACTCAGATCTAAGGTGATCTTACACAGCCCAGGCAGGTACTAGCATCTGGGCAGCCCATTAAAAATGTAGAAAGAGCTGGAGAGTTTATAATTAAACCATTAACAATCAGACTTCACAGATTCAGACTATAGACTTTCCAGGTGAAAGGAGGTCACAGGTAGCAGGTAAAAATAAGAGCCACATCTTTTTATTAGCAAGCTGGGCTCCAGTTACTGCAGCTGAGCTGAGCTGAGCTGTGCTTTGCTGGGGTTGCATTTATCTTAAAGAATTTAACCACGGTGGTGACATATCTCTCATCTCTCCAGGTTTGTTTATGCTGGGTTCCCCACCACCCTCTCTGAGAACATCTTTTCTTTTCTTTTTTTTTTTTTGCTCTACTTTCTCCTCCTGCCCCCAATCTCTGTCCTCAGTGAGGACACTTAGCCTTCAGTTGCTTATCATCTCTCTAGCACAGTGGTTCTCAACCTTCCTAATGCCACGGCCCTTTAATACAGTTCCTCATGTTGTGGTGACCCCCAACCATAAAATTATATTCGTTGCTACTTCATAACTGTAATGTTGCTACTGTTATGAATCATAATGTAAATATCTGATATGCAGGATGTATTTAGGCGACCCCTGTGAAAGGGTCCTTCGACCCCCAAAGGGGTCGCGACCCACAGGTTGAGAACCGCTGCTCTAGAGGTTCAAAAAAGATACTATTGATGGTTATCTGGTATCTGGTACTGTGCCCAGTCCAACAATTCTGTGATGTAAGCTCAAGTCTTATTTCTGTTTCATACCTAAAGATGTTGAGGTTTAGAGGGTTGAATGCCTTGTCCAAGGTCACATGATCATGGGAGGGGGCGCGTGGAGCACAAATCTGAAACCAGTTAAGTTCCAAACCAAAGCCAAAGCCCTACCCCTGATATCCAATCCCAAATTCCCTGTTGTCTCCTGGACACCTCTATCAAGATGTCGCCAAGAGCTACCAACTCCACACATCCAAGCCTGATTGGTCCAATCCCTCTCCATCCTCCTAAGCTGGACAATTTAGAATCATCAGGATGCGGAATTGTGACTCTTCTTTCAAACCATAGCTCTCACTTGCTGTTTTTCTCTGTCCCTTCTATGTTGCTCTAACTCATCCTGAACAATGGACAGTAGCCACAGCCACCCAGGTGGCACAGCCTCCTGACACGCCAACTGGCAGAAAGGAAATGGGTGTTTGAACAGAAAAGTCAGAATCTCAGTCCCATTTCTGTCCATTTCAAGCTAGGGGACCTTGGCCAATTTTTCACACCTACAGCAGCCCCACAGGGAGGTCATGAGGTTAGAAATAATGCATGTTAAATGTACATTGAGATGCAGACAAAAAAGAGAGTCCCACTAAATAATATAGGTTTGCACTGGCTTCTGGGTGCCTCAGTTTCCCTAACATATAAAATGGGAGCAGTAGCATATGCCTCATAGGTTGGTGGGGAGATTAAATGAGTCCCCATTCGTGGCCCATGAAGCAGCACTGGCACACAGAGAATACAGTGAATGCCGTGAAAGCATTGCTGTCATCACCACCCAGTGTCCCTGCCCTCACCTCTCTCTGAAGGCACATAGCACACTCACATTTGCCTCCCTGCTTGATACATAATCAACATACACGTTTTCCTTCTCCATCTAGGAGTGAGCTGACTTGCATACTCACTGATTTCCCCCTCTAGTTTTTGGTCTGCTTGGCTGTACACAGTAGGGCCTCAAAAATACCAACTGAGTATCTCTGAAGGACTGTGCTCTTCTCACAGGGATTGTTTAGATAGCAATTTTGTTTTCCTAGCTTTTTTTTTTTTGGACTTTATTATGGACACATCTGGGCAGCCTCACAGGCTTATTTCGAGCCTTGTAAAATGACTGGAGGCGGGAGACGAACATCCTGTTCTGCTGGAGTTGAGCAAACTGAATGGCACAGCAGCCTCCGCTGTGCTGTATAGAAGCAAACGGCCACAGTGAGCTTTGTCAATAACGTGCTCAGACAGCAGCAAATGAGAAACGGCCAGGCTCCGAGGGCTTGCCTCCAGATCAGTGTCTCCAAAGCTGAGTTTCATGGTATTGAACCCTGACCTCTCAACCCCTCAAGATGGAGTTTGCCCACAGAAGTGCCCAGAATCCCTTCTGTTCTGCTTTAAGATAAATACATAACATTTTCCTTTCCGGATTTAAAGATGAGCCACCTATCATCATGAACAATTTTACATCTAAATACAGTCCATCCCACATACAACCCCCCTTTTGTGAATCTCTGTACCATTTACTTGTTCCCAAGAAGCACTTTGTGCTGCACATCCTGGCAATTTTGTTGCTTTATGTATTTTCTGTCATTTATATCATGAGTTAGTGAGATGCTGTGAAAATGACCATGGCTAAGTAAGGGGAAAGCTTGCTTTTGTGGTACCAATGGGTTTTCGCAATGGTATCTGTTCACCAATACTCCACTTTCTTTGAAAACATCAGTGGCACACTGTGGATTCATTTTAGCTGGCTATCTACTCTTAACTCATAGATTCACAGAAATAAAGGAGAATTATGGAGTTTGTCCAGCCCAGGGATGGCAAATAGATTCCGTATCCAGGAACATCTCTAAATGATGGATAGTGGCAGCTTCCAGAAGCACTGTATTGGAAAAGATTCTCAGGCCACGCCAGGGGTGATGAGTAATATTTGCCATGGGTGTGGTGGCAGAGTAGGACAATGCTCATGCCACTGGTTTGCCATCCCAGACTGTTTAACCCTCTAATCTGCAAATGAAGAAGTTACATGATTCTTTCAAAATCACAGCACTGGCAGGTAAGCAACACTCATACTTCCAATTGTACTGTCTGCTCCCCAGCTGTGGAATCTGTTACTCCTCCACCCACACTCTACCACTCAACAAAATTAGCAAAAAATCAGGGTATGGAGAATGTGGCAGATGGAAAAAGGCAGTGAGAATCACAGGCTTTGAAAAACTGGGTAAAACCAGGCCAGCAGGTAAGAGAAAAGGCTAGCTGCACCAAACATAGGGCACATCATTATTATTGATACTAGAGGCCCGGTGCATGGATTCGTGCACCAGTGGGGTCCCTCAGCCTGGCCTGCACCTTCACTGGGGATTGGGCCAACACCAACAGAATGACATCCCCCAAGGGATGTAGTAATGTGCGAAGCGGCAGGCAGCTGGGGAGGAGCCCGAGCCTGGGCCAGGCACTGCACCGCTCCTGCTCATTCCGGCCCCGCTGCACCTTCCATTGGTCAGCTAAGCGGCACTCCTGCTGTGGGAGCGCACTGACCATCAGGGGCCAGCTCCTGCATTGAGCATCTTCCCGCTAGTGGTCAGTGTGCGTCACAGCAACCGGCCAAACGGCTGACTGGTCGAACGCTTAGGGTTTTATATATATAGATTATTTTGCCAGGGTCTTGCTAGGTGTCTTCCTTTTCTATAATCAAGCCAGAGTCTCTGAGCTCCTGGTGGAGAAGTAAGTGAGTCCATGGTAGCAATGGATGACAAAATCAGGAAGCCTCAAGGGCAGTTCATGGCACTCCCAAAGTATGTGCACATGTATGCAGGTGCAAGATCAGCACCCCTGTGCATCTGGACAAGAATGGGCACCAGTGCAGGCAAAGGAGCAGCGACCTAAGCAGTGGCCGCCATGCTATACAACTCTAGTGGACCACTGCGGTTCTTGCCTGCCCAGCAAACATTTTGCTTCCTTGGATAATAGGGTCCTAATTTACTTTAATAAGTAACCCTCTTTCACTCTCAATCTATATATTGTAGGTGAGGCTGATTCTACTCTGGATTTAGTACAAAGCATGTGACCCAGACTTAGCCAACCAGAGAATCACGACCAAATGGACAAAGTGATTGTTACAGGGATAGATGCATGATCTAGTGAGAACCAATAAGATTCAATTTCAAGCTTTTGTTGGCAGTATCAGGAAGAGATGGTCTCTCGGGTGACTTCAGACTGGGAGAAAGACGTGGAGCTACCGAGACCTCCACATTGGGAAGCAGGGAGGGATGTGACTGTCTAAGAGTGAAGCCAACAGAAGGAAAATGGAACCACAAGATAAATAAGAACCAACGCTGATGCTATCATTTGGGAACTGGTACATAGGCATGCCTAAAGGCAGAGCTATCTCAGAAATAGTACAATTACATGAGCCCACAATCCCCAATCCCACAGCCTCCCACCAATTTTTGAGTTGGGTTTCTGTCATATGTAACAACAAAAGAATCTTGGCCAATAATAAACCAAATACTCATTTTCCACATAAGACATACAGACCCCAAGTTCCTCCTTGGACCCAAGTTATCCCAAACATCTGACTTACCTGCAAGGAGCCCTGGATGTCTTTCCCCCCGACAATCACGAGTTCTGCCATGTCTTCCGCATGGGGAGTCCGGGCATGGATGAAAAGGGTCTTGCCCACCGCAGTTATGTTCCTCAGGGCGACTAAGCCACCTTCATTGTTCACCTTGAAGTATGGGCTTGAGACCTCGTAGTGTAGCTTGTCATTTCCCTTACAGTCACTGAAGTTCACTGGAGAAAACAAAACCAAACAAACCAAAACAGAAGGAGTGTGAGTAGGTTGGGCAGCTTTGTCCTAAGATATCTCTGACCATTAAATGTGAATTATCATTACCCATCCCAGATCCACAATGCTGTCCCTTGTCCCACAGCTTCCTCTCTGTACCCCCGTGACTTTGATCATGCTGAAGGTCTTCACTCCATCAAGACTCATCCTTGCTAACCTCCCATGACCAAGGCAGGTGCTAATCAATGAAAACACAGAGATAAACAGGACCACATCTCTGCCCTTGAATGTAGTGGGTGAAGTACACAATGATGTTTAGGAATGTCTGAGGTGCTGTGGCAGAACCAGGTTGCTCAGGAGCCTTAAGGCACAGCTTCATGGAGACAATATTTGAGCGGGGCCTTGAAGCTGAGTGAGAGAGTAGACGCCCCCAGGAAGTGGAGGGCATGGTAGGTTATTCAAAGGCATGGGAATAGTGGTGGTGAAATAACAAAACAGACTCAGAGAAAGAGAACTAACTTGGTGCACTTTGAGGTATATTTGAAATTAGACAACGATTTTGGGGATAATGAAGGAGAGGTTGGAAAAGGAGGTTGAAAATGTTCCTTTGGAGATAAATTGGGAAACACCACTGAGTTAGGGTGCCTTAGACTATTTTTAGTGTTGACATAGTCAAGGTCAGGTGCATGTTCTGGTTCCAGTGTAGGACAGTGCTTCCCATGGGTTGGGATGCATCAGAATCCCACGGGAGCTTCTTAGAAATCCCAAGGACCCAACTCAAGGAAGCTAATTTAGTGGCTCTGGGTTCTAGAGAGTGGTTTGGAGAAGGGGAGGAGAGGCTAAGAAAACCAGTTAACTCAACATTGTACCAATGATGCCTGGCCCAGATGTAAGCAGTGGCTGGATGGGAGTGAGCGAGATCCCTGTAGTTGAATGCTAAGTCATGTGTGAGAGGGAACAGGGAAGAGCAGCCCTCCTGGGGGAACCACATGAGCACAGGGACATTGCCAGGAGCAGCAGCTGTGACAGCTGGTCACGCTCCCCTCTGTGGCGTGCTTGTAGCTGGTACAGGATTCTATTTCCAAAGGCATCACAATCCATTGTCTGCACGAGTTTGCCTGTCTGCCTTCCTCAATAGGCTGCCAGGCCCTTGGGTGGAAGCATAGAATTGCATGTACTACTTGCATTCCTCCTCCCCCCACTTCTGTTTTCTTAGCTCTCTGCTGAACAGCTTTGTCTAGTAAACCTTTAATTGAATCACAGCATAGACATAGAAAAGTACATAAATCAGAACGTACATCTCAATGAATTTTCAGAAAGTGGGCACACACGTGGACCCAGCACCTAGATCTAGGCACAAAATATAATCAGTCCTCCTCTCTCTCCCCCTTCCTGAGTAAAAGCCCTACACTCCTTCCCAGAGGCTGTACTGCACTGACTTCTGATGTCAGAGTTTGACCTGCATTTGCACTCATACAAATGGAATGATGCAGACTGTGCTCTTTTGTTCTGGATTCTTTCACTCAGCATTATGTTTGTAAAATTCAACCGTGTGGCTGCAAGGCAGAGCTGTTTATCCTAATCACTATATAGTATTTTAGCATGTGGCTATGCTGTGTTTATTTATCTGTCCTATTGCCTATGGACAGGCATTTGGCCTATATCCAGTTTAAGTCTCTTAAATATTGCTACTAGGAACTCTCCTGTGTGCTTTTGGAACATCTACATGGGTCCAAGTACATTGTTAAAGCCATATACTTTTCTGATGAACTGAGCTGATTTTTCTTTCCTGGGAAAATCATTCTTATGGTGGTAATAATCATATTAGCTGATAATAATAATGGCTAACACAAATTTAGCACTTCCTGCATGCCAGGCTCAGTGTTAAGTAGATTATGCTATTTAATCTTTACAACAACAATGAAGGTGTCACAATTTTGATTCCCTCCCCCCACCCCCCCACCCCATTATAGATCAGGTGACTGGGGCTTGAAGAAGGCAAGGGGGGTGCCCAACACACACAGTTTGTAAAACCAAACCTGGTCCCTTTGCCCTTCACCACTATACATCCTCAAAACTGACAAACCCCATGTAGAATAGATTCCTCTTGGAATCCCATGAGGACCTGAATATGATGACCTGAGTACCCTGTTCAGTCCTGCTCCCAAGTTCCCACCCGGCCCTGATGCCTGTTGCATGGCGTTGCCTCGAGTTCCCTCTGCATTGGGGGCTCCAGAGCCTTTCCTGGCTACCACGTCAGCTTCAGGGGCATCGTTGTGTGGACCCACAAGTGGACTTTTGGGAATCTGCAGTTCCCAACACTTGCTCACTTCCTCTGACCATCTTGTTTGCCCAGTTTCAGTTTGTGGAAGTGAACTTCGAAGCAGAGACATGACCATTGCTTTCATGGTCACCATCAGTTAGCATTCATCCACTGGAGGCACACTGCTCAAAGGACAGGGCCTGATGGCAACTTGTTGCCTGAATTGCCAAGATGTTGATTCTGGACCTGGCCCCTGGGCAGGATCAGAACAGACAATCTCAGCTGGGGAGAGGTGGGAACAAGCGAAAGTATACAAAAGTCTGTGGGGGTTCTAGTTTCACACCTACATCTCTTACTTTCCCTTTTCTCTTTCCTTCATTTCTTCATCCCTCACTTCCTTCCTTCTTTTTTTCTTCCCTTCCCTTCCCTTCCTTTCATTGTTCCTTTCCTCTTATATTTCTTCTACAAGTATTTACTGAGAGCATGCATTATACTAGTTGTTTGGATTACGGACATTAATCCAAAACCTTGTAAGTGGTAAGAGACCTATCCCAGGCAGATCGAAACATAACAGGTGCAAAGGTCCTGTGGTAGCCAAGGAACTGTAACTAAGCCAGTGAGATGGGAAAAAAAAGCAAGGAAGATAGCAAGGAAGAGAGGGTGGGATCTGGAAGGCCACAAAAGGCTTATTCCCTAAAGGTAGCTTTGGACCCTTCCATTACGACTATAGAACTGACTGCTTCCATCTGAGTCTTATATAACTGTGGATCCCCACCAAAAACCAGCACCAAGCCCCTCCATGTCTGGGCTGTCTGCTGGCCTCCCCTCTGGCCTCTGTCTTCACTCAGAGCCTCACACATGCCCACACCTGTGCCTCCCTACACCCGCTGTTCTGCTCTACCTTTTTCTGCATATTGACTCCTCTGGTAGAAGGTATTCCCCACCTTCTTCACCCTATTAACTGTTAGTTATTCTTTAAGATTCAGCTCAGCAACCTCTCCAAACACCCTCTTTGTGTTCCCAGAGTTCCCTGCACATAGGGCCTTGCACATCATGTTACACCAACATGTCCACTTTATATATCTGTTTGTCCCACCAGAACCAAAAGCAGAGGTTGGATCTTACTCTTTTATTCATCTCTACATCTCCAGCAATGAACAGAATGCTTTTCCATACATGAGACTGTCGGTAACGATTCCATTTAACTCGATAACTCTAGTGGTGGTGGATCGGGGCTCCTCTCCATTGTGGGAGCAGAAGACGCTGGAGGCAAGGCCAGTGTCAGAATGAAGGCCCCTAGCTTCCCTAGTCTTGGCTGAGCCCAGTGGGAGAGAGGAGTAGGAAATGAAGGACTCAGCCATGGTCTTCCCATAGTTCCCCAGTTCCTGGATACATCAATTCATGAAAGCACAGCCTCCCATGCTTAGCATGGGCTTAGCTCATTGGTAAAGTCAGGGGTGGTGGCTTACCTTTCTTCTGGATTCTAATAAAGCTTCACACAGTCCTGAAGCATAGTTGGGATCAGTGTGTGCATGTTGAATGAATGAATGTTTTGAAAAATAAAGGTAACATCTACCATTTCTTGAGTGGCATCTGAGTACCAGTCTCTGTGCCACCAACTGTGCATTTAGGCTCTCCCTGTAGCCTCATAGCAATTCTGATCTGTAGCAGCATTTCCCACTTTTAAAAATTATCTACCCCGCCACCAAGTCTTTTTAGATATTTTTGCCTAAATGCCACTACTCTCATGAGATTTTACTGTCACAGATAACTGTTTACTTTAATGTCACTGTATATCAGTTTATTTACTGTATGTGTATCTGTACTTTGCTCACACACAAAAAGTACCATTGGGCCTCTCTCCAAGAACCCATGTCACCCCTTTGGGGGCAATGCAGCTGCATAGAATGCACAGTCTACAAGCATCGTTCCCATTTTACCAGAGGAGAGACCAAGCCTTGGGGAGATTGACTAACTTGCTCAAGGTCACACATCCTGAAAAGGCAAGAACCTGTCCCTGGTCTGACCTGTCTGCAGTTCAAGTTCTCAGCACATCCACATCCTAGGAATGGATACATGAGAGGGAAAGGGGCAGGTGCCCATCCCCACCCCTCCAGGATGCTCACTAATCCCTCAGGAGTCATCAGAGGTACCAGGTGGGGGCATAATGAGAGACCAAATCTACATCCAGGACCTGGCACATAGGGGCTGCTTAGTACATTCTAGCTTCTTTCCAACTGGCTGTATCAGGTAGCTAAGGGTTGCATAATTGGGTATTTTTATGTTAGACATATTATACCAATTCAGGAGCAGGTGCTTTAGACTGTGGCTCTTTTTCAAGGCTATGATAATCACCCCGAGAACATTTACAAATAGCAATACCTGCCCCAAACCGCAACAGAGATTCTGATATACCTGGGCTGGCTTGGGGTCCTGGCACTGGTATCTGTTTAAAGCTCTCCAGGTGAATCTAATGTAACCAGGACCAAGAACCAGGACCTTGGACAATGAATGGTTTGTCAAGATGCCAGGTGTCCACATTTTCCACCTTCCCTGGCACAGAGAGGAGGTTGGAGAACTAGCATGCCAGCAACTGCTATCCTCATGCCCTTAGAAATGCATTTTTAATGGTAGGGTCTCTAAGCCCTTTCCAATCCTGGCTCATATGTAGCAGCAGCTCTGTGACCTTGGGCAAAACACCCATCCTCTTTATGCTTCAACGTGTTCCTCTGTAAAGTGGGA